CTCTGCACGATATGTGGAGTTCACGGATTTGCTGGACGGGGTGTCTGTGCCAGCCAGATCGCGACGGCCAACGGAACGGCGGCGGCGGGATGTTGGCGCGCCACGGGCGTCTCGACACTCATGTTGCTGACGGCACGTGCACACGCTCCTCGCCAACCACGCGGGCCTATGCGGGAACTCCATCAATGGGCACTGTAGAGGCTCCAGACTCAGCAAGCCAGGTCCCAGAAGGCCTTGAAGATAAGGTCTCGGTTGTCCACGGTCGGCTCAGGCGACAAGGTCCCTCGCATCTTCAGAGCGACCCTTCTGGCGAAGGCCGCCTGGGGAGCTGCCAACCCTGGAGTCTCTGACACTGCGCTGCGTAGGCTGCGTGATTGGGGAGCTAAGCCTGCTGGAGGCGTACCAGGAGGGGCCTCGATCGGCTCCAGATGTCCGGCTAACCCGCGGCTCTGGCGGCGCCGCTCTAAGGCGGCGATCTCGGCGCTAGCGGCCAGGGACTTCATCGACACTCCGCGGTCGAAGGCGATGACGCAAGACGAGCTGCTCAGCTGTTACGGCGACGGTTATAAGGCCTTGGGGGGGCCAGACCGTGGGCTGCCGTGAAGCATCCCATCGCTGCTCGCTGCCCCACCATCTCACGGCTGGGTTGGTCTCCTAATTGTGAGTCTGAGCCCTTGGTGGGTGACCTGAATAAATGGGTCGCATCAGAAGTGCTCGCCCGCGCTCTTCGGTCGCATGATTCAGGCCGGCGCACGCAGAGCTACCGAGTGGGATGAGCATCACGGGCGGAGATGTTTCAAGCACTACAACGCCCCGATCTTCTGAGCCCCACTGTCCGAGCTACGGTGCCAGAGGACTAATCCAGGATGGGCTGGGCATCAGAGAGCGCCTTGAAGTGATGGTGGCCGGAGTTTACTGTTACCAGGAGCGGATGCATTCATTTGCTGCGGATGTTTCGCTGCCAAAAGCGCCGCAGTGCATTGGGTCAGTCTGTCATCCCAGATTCAATTGCCTAGAACATTGTGGGTGGCGACGTGGGCAGATTGAGCCTCATGTTCGTCGTGCTCCTGCGAAGGACCCAGCTCCTGACACACAGCTACACTGCCGTTGTTTTGTCCAGACCTTGGGAGATTCATCAAGAGACCAGTTCGTCCGGCGAGAGAACCCTCCATACAGCGCGGCAATGGGCTTCGGGATGGCCCGGTGGTGGCCCCAGGCAATCAGTCATTTTTTCTGGAGGACGGATCGGATTACGAGATGCCGCGGCCGCCCCTGCGGGTTGCCAGATGGTCGGCGGTCCTGGTTGACAAGAACGGCGAAGCTACATCGGCTGTTTTCGGAGTCGTAGACCAGAATCTTCCTTTAGACCAGATGGGGGGCCGGCGCCCTCGCCCCCAAGGTGGTCTAAAGAAATTTTGCGGCTTCTGGCGGGCGCCCGCTGAGCACTGGTTCCGCGCGGGAGGGGGGGGCCCTTTCACGGGCGCCGCCGTTGCCGTCGGAGTGCGGGGCCTCAGAGCGGCCAGGTTTCACTGGCGCGGCGCCGTCCTGCAGCCGGCCGCTGCGGGGCGAGGCCGAGCGTTGCCACCTAAGACCTGCAGGGGGAGGATGGGGCGTGAAAGACCGCCCCCCCACTTCATCGGCAGGAAGGTTCAGCGCCGCGCGCCCACGCCGCGGGCAGCAGCGCTGAGCCGCAACGGCTGGGGGTCGGGCGCCGGCGTAGTCCGCGACGGCGCGCGGACCCGCGACTGCTGCAAGAGCGCGAAACGAAACGAAAGCGGTTCTTTCGTGAGGCGGGTCCAGGTGGCGCGTGACGGAGAGGACTACGCAGTGCGCCAGCTGTCGCGACGCGTTGTTGGCTCCTGGGATGGTTGCGCATATTGACTGCTCGGCGACCTTGGGTTGCGCTCGTCGGTTTCGCAGTCAAGGTTGGAGCAAGGAACCTCGAGCACACTGGTGGTCGGAGATCGGAGATCGACTGCCTAGTGCGGCTTTCGAGAGCGTCGACTTGCACCAGCCCGTCTGTGCGGCGCGGCAAGGCAAGTTAACGCACTGGGCTTGGCGAGGAAATCAAGAGGCGGATCCGTTGGCCAAACTTGGTGCTGAGCCTTTCAGAGCCGGCGCGGACGATTCGCTGGTGATGTGTGGCTGTCTTGAGTCAGCCAAGCGCGCGGCCAGGTACGGTGCTGTGCAGCAGGCAGCCTCGTCGCACACAGAAGTATCTGATCACGTCGGTTCCGAGTGGATGGTCTATATTGTGTTGGACCCGATTCTGGGGCTACCGATTCCTGGGTGGCCCTTCGGAAGAACACGATGATGTTGTCCCAGACGAGTTCGTTCCCGACCCTTGGGAGTTCCGAGGACACCATCTTAATGCCGAGGTCCTCGATGGGGATGAGCAGGCGGACTCCATGATATGTTGTTCGTTGTGTGGCAGCAACGTCGCCTGGGAGCTGCGTCATCTCGCGAAGGCAAGGTGCAAATTGATCGTCGTTTGCACGAAGATAGCCACAGGTTCGAAGAGCTTCAGTCGCATCGCACATGACCGTTCTTCTGAACTCCCTGTTCGTGATGCTGGAGGTTTGTCGTACAAAGCCAAGGCCCAGTGGTGCGAGTTCCTGGATGACGGGGGCGTTGGGGCGAGGAGTGAGGCAGGACCTTCCGCGAGGGCCTTGGCGAGATTTTATCATCCCATGTTTTTATCGTAGGGAGGTCCCAGGGATCGACCTGCACTGGGGGGGGGGCGGTTTTCGGCCCGTCTTTGGAAGTTGCTCGGGCCCTAGGCTTGGAGGCCCGTGATGCGACCAAGAGAAGGGCGGTGGCTCAAATTGAGCTGCTTCCCGACGGCCCACGAGGCTGACCTGAGCTCGTCCTTGACCTTTCGCCCGACACCCTGCTCGTGTCCCTGAGCCTCCTCGTCTTTGGCATGTCCTGAGTTGGGTAGCATCCGAATCGCGACCGAGCCACCGAGGAGGAGGAGGAGGAAGAAGAGGAGGAGAAGGAGGCGAAGGCGGAGGCGGAGGCGGAGGCGAAGGCGGAGGAGGAGGAGTAGGAGGAAGAAGAGGAGGAGGAGGAGGAGGAGGCGAAGGTGGAGGCGGAGGCGGAGGAGGAGGAGGAGGAGGAGGAGGAGGATCACTTGGGCCCTCAAACTCGGGAAGACGGCGTGGCCCGCTCCTGCCCAGAGCGCCAGCTGCTTGGAGCGCCAGCGCCAGCGTCCGACCTGGGCAAGGAAGTGGGCGCGTGGTGGGGGCAGAGGCTGGCCAGGAGGCCAGCTGAGGCTGCTCGCGCGGCCTGTTGAGGCCAGCCGGGACTACTTACCTGCGCCGCCCTCGACGACGACGACCACGACCACGACCATGACGACGACCACGACGACGACGACGACGACGGCGACGACGACGACGACGACGCCTCACAAGGAAGAGTCCACATGGGCTTGTCGATTCTTCGCCAATCGATCCTCAGAGACGGGGCCAGGGAAATCGATGCAGGTCGACGCGTTCCAGCGTAAACCCAGAAGTCGCGGCAAATCCAGAATCTCGAGGGGAAGATGGAGAGAAATACCGAAAGATTCAGCGCGAGTCGCGGAACCGCAGAAGTTGTTCGGCCCTTGGCACAGGGGGGAAGAGATGGGAGCATGGTCGGCAGCAAGCCGAGGCGAGCAGAAGCTGAGGCGCACAGTGCGTTGAGCGTGTCCTCCGGCCTCCAAGCACAGTGGTGGCATAGATGGCAGTGGTCGGTACGCTTGGCCGCGCGGTTGGAGGTAAGCAACGGTCCTGCTGGCCGTCGGGACGCCACACGTGCGCTTCAGAAAGATGGATTCTCCCGTCGCGGGGCGGAACTTCGGTAGTGTCGGGCCAGAGGAAAGAGGGGGATTGGGAAAGGGGGGGTTACGAAATTTGCTGCGTGCAGCTGGTTTCGGCCCCGCCGAGGGGTCCATTCCTCGATACATGGCCGCCTCCCGGCGCTGGGAGGCGCCGGGAAAATCAGCTACGTGAGCTGATTCTCAAACCCCCCTTCTGCTATCCCCCCCCTTTCGCCCGACCCGATAGTGGGGGTCGAGGAAGGTTTCTGCTAGTTGGCATGGCAGTGCTTCCAGGCACGCACAGCCTATGGAATTCGCACCCGTTCTTCTGCGCCGCGGGCTTCCCGTCACACACGCCCCGTACTCTTGGCAGGACGGGAGCATGGCGCAGGCTCCAGACCGATCCCAAGACGAGCGACGCCCCTCTGAAGCTGCGCCTCAGGTCAGGGATGAGGCCAGACCGACGGGGCAGCGGCGGCGTAGGGGCAGAGACGGGCCAAGGGCTGCGGCGGAGGGGACGACAGGCATCAGGCTCCAGCGCCGTTGTGGTGAATAGCAGCCTGCAGCAAGGCATGATAGATGGCACTCGCGACCCACTCGGTCCAGAAGAATGTGCGAGGCGCCATAAGCAAAAGACAATGCTTGGGTGATTGAGGACAAAACGACCCGCCAAGATAGGAAACTGTCACATCAACGTGCCTGTCTGTCTTCGCATAGCGGGGCCACATAGGCAGCGCTCTCCTCATCCCCCCTTCAACTCTCCAGAGGGCTACGCGGCGTGGCGATGGTTAGCGCCCGCGGGTCTTATTCGATTGTGACAGTCCAGAAGCGCACGTGTTCATTGATTCGACTGCGGCTCAGAAGCATCACGCTTGCGGGCAGCCGCTGGAGCCCATGCCAGAAGTAAGCGGTTACCCTCCCGCCAGGTGCGCCCCCGAAAATTCTTAGACTGCAAATTGAGGAGGGACACCTGAGGACATCTCGTGGGTTCGACACCTAGCTTTCTGGTTATTGAATTTCTCATCCCTCGCATTTGTTGTGTTCTCCTACATCCCCTTCTCCCATCTGGGCTCTCTTGCTGTTCCGGTTCGCGAGATTCCCAAATGATTTCTTGGTCGTCGCGAGTCTGAGTTGCGATGGGTCGTGCCATTACGGTGTCCGCGTTGGCACAGAATGGCTGACCTTCCGAGCCCCCGAGGAGTGCAGGCCCGTCGGGAGCGCGGGGGTGGCCAAGACGATCCTCAAGAAGTCTGTGTCTCAGGATCGGCCTGCGCGCACTATCTCCCATGCCCGGTCGGTGAAGGGAAGAGGCATGATTTGCAAGAAGCCAAGCGCATTCGTGAGAGGCATGAAAGACATCCACATTCTATCGCTGGATTGTGGTTGCCCTGGAGAAATCCAATTGCACTACTTGATCCTACCCCGCAGGAGCGTGTGGCCAAGTCCAGGAGTCTGATTCACTACCACGTTGATTGACACGTAGACTTGTGAAATTCACGAGTGCGGTTGGTTCGTGTCGCATCGACGTTGCGGCGACACCGCCGCGGACGTTCAAGGTTGAACGCCGCCAGTGGCCCTGGCCATCGGAAAGCCGCCGACCGTTCAAGGGTGAACGAGCCACGCGGCTTCAGTCACCAACACCAGGGTCGTCACGACACGAACTTGCCGTACCGCGTTAATTGACAGGCAGACCTATGAGAATCACGATCAGGTCCATCTTGCTGCTGCTGCGCGTGGCCTCTCCACCATGCGCTCCGCCGGCACTCCGCTCGAGCCTTGCATCCGTTGGGGAAGCAGTCACGCTTACCCCTCCTCTATTGGTGCACTCTGCCTCTCGGAGGCGCGCCGAGGGTGGAAGCGAGGGGGGGCAGGCCATCCGAGAGGGCGACCGGGCGTCTCGGAAGCCCTCCGGCCTTCTGAGAATCCCGCCGCGGCTTCGGGGAAGGCTCAGAAAGCGTCTCGGTGGACAAGAACAAAATAGGTCTTACCATAAAAAAACAAACAAAAATCCAACATTCTACAAACAAATCTCCATTTGATTTACAAAGACCATTTAAAAAACATTCATAATTTTACAGCTTCTGAGAAGGCCCGCTCCGTCTGACCGGGCGCGCTGCCAAGTTTCGCCCCCTGAGGATGCCAAAAGCCTCGGCGCTGTGGACCCCGTGCGCGGAGCACGCACCCGCATATCCGACGAGCCGGTGCGGGGCAGCATCAAGATGTGGAAGGCCCGACGGGGAAGGGGCAGGGAGGCACCGGGTGAGGAAGCAGGTAGACAAAGAAGGAGGAGGAGGAGGAGGAGGAATGCAGGAATGTAGGGTGAGGAATCATGCGCGGGTAGCGGCAACCCGTGCGGAGTTCATGTCCTGAGTCTCGCGTGGGCTCGCAATATTGTACGAATTGGGACAGAGACGGCAGCGCACACATCAACGACCTGCGATGAGGCAACGAAGGCAGGGTAGCGCGCGATGGCGAGGGGGTGCAAGCAGAGGGGGTACAAGCAAAATGGGTCATATATGTGTGCAGCTACAACGAGAGAAGAAGAGAGAAAGCGAGAGAGAGAGACACACACACACACACACACACACACACACACACACACACACACACACACACACACACACACACACGCACGCACGCACGCACGCACGCACGCACGCACGCACGCACGCACGCACGCACGCACGCACGCACGCACACACACACACACACACACACACATACATACATACATACACACACACACACTTTTTACGTCGCAGCCCGGCAGAGGCAGTCCGCACGCGCATTTGGGCAAGCCGGGTGACTGCATCGCGAATTGTCCGGCAGCAAGAGTGGGAAAGTAGGGGGGAAAGCGGCCGCGAGCAGGGGGGAAGGGGGAGAGCGCTCACGCGAGAGGGAGAGAGAGAGAGAGAGACACACACACACACACACGCAAAGATAGAAACAGAGACAGCGCAGTCATGATAGACGGAGGGCGAGAGAGACAAGGGAGAGAGATTCAGGGGCGGCGGCAAGAGGGCAACGCGAGGGACGGGGCAGACTGGGCAGGGAGATGGCAAGGGCAAGGGTGCAGTTCGGCCAAGATAAAAACACATCTATTTACAGCGTTGCGATCTGGAAGTCCCTGCGAAACCCGAGCAGATCGAGACCGCGGGCAGGAGGAGATGCCCATCCGCCAGCCGTAGGAAAATTTGCTGGTCGAGGATGTTATGATCAAAGACGCCTAGGGCGAATTACCGCCGCCCCCTGCCTTTTGGAAGCGCCTATGTGGCCGAACGTTGTGGCCAGAACTCGACCAAGCAGCCAAAACCCTTCAACGACCTACAGAAAGAGCAATGATGTTGGCCTCGGCGGGCCTTCCTAGAGGTCCTCCTGGAGGCCTCTTGGGCCGTCTTGGGCGAGGCCATCTTGGGGGCATCTCGGTCCGTCTTGGGGATAAATGTGGGGCCATCTTGAAGCTCTCTTAGGACCATCGCAGCCGTCTTGGAGACCATCTTGGCCGTTGTGGAGGCCGTCTTGCGACTGTCAGGAGCGGGAAGACAGACGATCTGGGAAGTTTACGGGTCCTTCTTCCGTGCCCGCGCCATCGGCCGAAGGCACACTGGGAGTTCATTAGAACGAACCAAAGACATCCTAACATTTGGCATGCCGTGGTCCCTTGTGGCAAGCACAGGGGGCGGCAGATCGAAGACGCCTACGGCGAATCACCGCCGCCCACTGTTTTGTATACGTTTGGGCAAAGTTTGGCCACGCTATCGGACCATTCGTTCCTCCAGCCGTTGCGGAAACCCTTCGGAGAACTTTTGGGGGAGGAAAACGAGGATGAGGAGATTTCTTGGGAGCTTGCTTCTTGGGTAATTGTCCTGGGGGCCTTTTGGAGGCCTCTTGGAGGCCTCCTTTGGCCTCATGGGGGCCTTTGGCGGCTTCTTGGGGACCTCGTTGGCCGTCTTACGGCGTCCCTGGCCCGTCAGACGCCGTCGGAAGCCGTCTTGGGAGCCTGTCTGGACCGTTTGGGTGCTTTTTGGGGCGCGTCAGGGTCGGCTTGAAGGCCATCTTGGGCGTCTTGGAGGCCTCTTGGGCCACCTTGGAGACCTCTTGGGCGATCTTGGGGCAATGTTTGGGGCCTCCTGGGCCGTCGGAAGGCCGTTTCGAAGCGAATGCCAAAATTTGTCAAAAAGCTTGGGAAGACCCATGATTTTAGCCTCGTCGGGCCTTTCTGGAGAGCATCTTGGAGGCTTCTTGGGCCGTCTTGGAGGCCTGTTGGAGTTCTTGTTGGCCGTCGTGGGCCGTCTTGGGTGCATCTTGGGCCGTCTTGGGTGCATCTTCGGGCCATCTTGGGTTCTCTTGCAGCCATCTTGGGCCATCCGGAACGTCTTGGAGGCGATTTGGGCCACGAGAGGTGGATTTGGTCAGCTTTCCGGGTGGCCGGCGGAACGGGCCGACGCCCCATGGGCGGGTCTTCAAAATACCATCTGAAACTTAGCACGCCAGGCATCCGTGCGGCAAGACCAAAGGGGGCGGCGGATGACGAGAAGCGCACGTCGCGTCGCGATCCGTTAGCTGAGAGAAACAACAAAGGGGAGCGTGAGGGGGTTGGCAGGACCCGCCCCAGACCTAATCGCTCGGGGCTGGACAGAACCCCCAATAGTGACACGTCGATTAGTGAATTGTCTGTTTTCGGTTCTCGAGAGGGCGCCGTGGCCGTTATTTTCCAGGCTTGCGCCCGCCAGGTTTGGGCCCGAAGTCGTTTTCACTAAACCACGTTTTACTAAAGGGAGGTCTGTCCATCCCCGAAACAAAGGGGAGCGTGAGGGGGTCGGCAGGACCCGCCCCAGACCTAATCGCCCCAGCTTTTGGCCATGTTCGGCCCCGGACGGCACAAGTCAGCCCCACGAGCGCCCAAGGCGACCCAAGAGGCTCCCAAGACGGCCGAAGGCACCTCCCAAGACGGTTCCGAGGGGCCCAGGAGGACCCCAAGACGGCCCAAGAGCGCTCAAGGACGGCCCAACATGGTCTCCAGACGGTCAAAGAGGCCCTCCAGACGCTCCAAGAGACCTTCAAGAGGACCCCCAGGAGGTAAAAATCGTCCCACTCCCGAGTGACAACGTATATCCTTGGCACATTCGCTGTTTTCATTTTCATACCGTCTAAGTCGGCCCAATACGGACCCTAGACCTCCACAAGAGGCCCCCAAGAGGGCCCAAAACGGCCCAAGTGGGCTCCGAGACAGCCCAACAGAACCCCAGGACCGCCCAAAAGGCGCCCCTCAGGACCCCAAAAGGTTCTCATTCGAGCCTCAAGAGGGCCCCAAGACGGCCCAAGCCCCACAAGACGGCCCAAGACGGTCCCGGGACAGCCCAAGGGGGCCGCAAGAAGACCCAAAAGAGCCCCAAAAGGAGCCCCACGAAGGCCCAGAGAGGCCGTATGCATTGATTTTCGCAAGGTTGTGTGTCAGATTCTTGTATGACGTACCAAGAGGGTTCCAAGACCCTAGGCAAGCGATCGCACACGTTCACGAGGTACTCGCGTTGTCCGTCCCCGTGCCGAGCAGGTCTAGTCGCCTTCGGCCCATTCAGCCAGGTTGAGGCCTCTTGGATGCCTTCGGGGATCTCTGGAGAGGCCTCTCGGGGGAGCCTCTTGGAGGCGGTTTTGGAGTGTCTTTGGGTCGGGGGCCTCTTGCGGTCTGATTTGGGCCTCTTGGGGGCATCCTGGAACTTCTGGGGGGCTTCTCGGGGGCCTGCTGGCGGCTCTGGGGTTCGTCTTGGGGCGTAGCGCTCGAAATGTCGGTTCGTGTTCCCCTTCTGGGGCCTCTCTTAGACCTCTCGTGGGCCGTCTTGGGGGCCTATTGGGCCGTCTGAGGGCGCTCTTGGGCCGTCTGGGGGGCCCATTGGGAGAAAAAAAAAAAAAAAGAGAGAGAGAGAGAGAGAGAGAACAAGTGATGGTGACATTTGGGGGCCTTCGTCAGCTTCATCTTGGGGCTCACTCCGGGCGCTCTGGACACCTCTCAAGCTGCCTTGAGGCCATCATGGCCGACTTGGAGCCTTCGTGCGCCGTCTCGGAAGCCTCTCGAAGTTTTGGAGGCCTCTCGGGGTCCTCCTGGCCCGCCTTCGGGGCCCTCGAGCCTCCGAGCGAGTCGCGCGGGGACGCCCGCCAAGCCCCCGGGAGGCCCGCAGGGGACACGCGGCGCGCCCCAGCAGATCCGGGAATTCGGGGTGTGGGCTCGAGTGCTCCAACGCCTGGGACCGAGGACCGAGGGCCGAGGACGAAGATCTCCAAGAGGCCGGGGGGGACGCCGACTCGTGCCTCGGAGCACGGCGGCGGATCGGGCAGGCGCGGGAGAAAGACGGAGCGCTCCGGGGAGCTGCACGGCCGCAGCGTGCGCTGCGCCGTCCAGCCAGGCCCGCGGCTCTCGGGGATCCCCGACGTGCCTCGACCAGGTTTAGTCGCGCTGTCCTGCCCTCGTCGTGGATTGCTGGCAGGCGGTGTGCCTAGCTGCTTGGTGGGCTGCAGGGGGCGGCGGCGGCGCCCCCGGGAACGCGTCCCGGGCGCGGCGTGGGGCTGGCCGCGCGTGAAGGAGCAAGACGCTGCCCTCCGACGGGGAGGGGTGGACGCTTCGCCGCAGGGGATCGAGGGGGGGAGGGTAGGGCGAGGGAAGCGGTGGCTGCGATCAATTGCGGAGCCTACCCCTGCGGGTCCACTCGACGCGGGGGTATCGGCACCCTCGCCGGGGTTCACCTGGCCATGCACCCTGGACGGCGTTTCAGAAGTCTGCATTGCACGAGTAAGGTTCATATGTATGTGGTTGCCTAGGGTGGGCGTGGCCCCCAAGGGGTGGGATGCCTTTGGGCTGCGCATCCCCCCCCACCCCTCCTCCAGCCTCCTCCCCCTCCTCCCGGGGTCGTGGCTGGCCGTGCCCCTTTGTAACCCCTCCACCGGTAGTCGGACACTCTCCTCGGCATGAAGGTCGCGGAGCTCGCCGCCGTCAAGGGGGCGCGACCCTAGCAGAAGAAAAAGCGGGGTAAACATAAACTGTTGGCGTTCCGCGCGGATTTCTTGGATCT